ACATGGCTGAACCTAGTCTTAAGTCATCCACATGGAATCTTTGCCCTTCCTTGGTGCCCTGTATATTTGTGTCTCCATACTCAGTCGTGCTTGACTCTGTTACCCCATGGATTATAACCCGTCAGGCTCCTCTGTCCATGAAATTTTTCAGGCAAGAATACTGGAATGGATTGCTATTCCCTTCTCCAGGGGTTCTTACCAACTCAAGGATCAAACCCACATCTCCTTGGTCTCCTGAATTGGCAGGTGGATCCTTGGCCACTGTGCCACCTGGGAAGTGTGAGGATCTTTTAGTTATGGAACAGGGACACTTAGTTGCAGGATATGGGATCCAGTTCCCTGACCAGGGATTGACCTGGGGGCCCCTGCATTGGAAGCATGGAGTCAAGCCCCCAGACCACAAGGGAAGTTCTAGGATAGAAAGATTTATTGAAAGATCTAAAGTATACAGTCCTGACTACAAAGTTGATTTTTCTCTTCTGGTCTGATCAAGCAGGAGGCGGCCTAGGAGACCTGAGGCTCAGAATATCTATCACTGGAGATGAATCCATTCTATCCTATTCCCTCCCAAAACTGTATATTGTCATCCTGCTTATTTAACTTATATGCAGAGTACATCATGAGAAAGACTGTGCTGGATGAAGCACAAGCTGGAATCAAGATTACCGGGAGAAACATCAATAACCTCAGATATGTAGATATGCAGATGGCACCACCCTTATGGCAGAAATTGAAGAACTAAAGAGCCTATTGATGAAAGTGAAAGAGGAGAGTGAAAAGTTGGCTTAAAACTCAACATTCAGAAAACTAAGATCATGGCATCTGGTCCCATCATGGCAAATAGATGGGGAAACAATAGAAACAGTGACAGACTTTATTTTTGGGGGGCTCCAAAATCAGTGCAGATGGTGACTGCGGCCGTGAAATTAAAAGACTCTTGCTCCTTGGAAGAAAAGTTATGACCTAACTAGACAGCATATTAAAAAGCAGAGACGTCACTTTGCCAACAAAGATCCATCTAGTCAAGGCTATGGGTTTTCCAGTGGTCATGTGTGAACGTGAGAGTTGGATTATAAAGAAAGCTGAGCACTAAAGAACTGATGCTTTTGAACTGTGGTGTTGGAGAAGACTCTTGACAGTCCCTTGGACTGCAAGGAGATCCAACCAGCCCATCCTAAAGGAAATCAGTCCTGACTATGCATCGTAAGGACTGAATCTGAAGCTGAAACTGCAATATTTTGGCCTTCTGATGCGAAGAATTGACTCATTTGAAAATACCCTGATGCTGGGAAAGATTGAAAGTGGGAGGAGAAGGGGACAGCAGAGGATGAGATGGTTGGATAGCATCACCAACTTAACGGACATGAGTTTGAGTAAGCTCTGGGAGTTGGTGTTGGACAGGGAGGCCTGGCATGCTGCAGTCCAGGGGGTGGCAAAGAGTCAGACATGACTGAGCAACTGAACTGAACTGAACTGAACTGAACTGATTCCCTCCCACCCCCAACACCCTGCAATGGCTACTGGAACAGCTTGGGTGAATCCTGATTCATTGGTGACACCATGAAATATGTGAGACTAATTTCAATCCCTGGGGTTTGCCCTCCTCACTGTTGTAAGCAATAGAGGGTAAGTTCAAGGGATGAAGACTTATGCTGTTCACTAGCAGGGAGAAGATTGCAAAACAACAACAAAAAAACACTGTGGAGTTCTCACATAATAAGGAGCTCTTGCTCAACAACTCTAGAGCCAAACCCTCAGCAAGCAATGTATCACTAGATCCTACTAAAAATCCCATAAGTTCTGTGTGCAGCATTATATTCATTGTGGGGGGAAACAAAGCTCTGACTAATGTCCTCCCAGCTCTAAATCCACCTCCTCCCCAGAGTAAACAATCCCAGCGTCTGAATCCTTAGCAGGGAAACTTCCTTTGGTACATTCTGTGTAGATGCCCTGTGAAGATTATATTTATGAGTCAACTTCACTGTGAGATGAGATGCCCAGATCATGGGTCAAACATTAATTTCTGGGAGAATCTGAAAGGGAATTCCTAGAAGAGATTAGCATTGGAATCAGTAGACAAAGTCAAGAGATCAGCCCTCATCAGTGTGGGTGGGCATCCTATTATCCTCTGGGGGCTTGAATGGGACAAGCACTACTGCTCTCACTCTCTTATCTTGTCCATGAACTCTGGAGCTTCTGGCTCCTGAACCTTGAAACTCCAGGACATACACAAGTAGTCCCCTGGCTACCAGGCCTTCAGCCTTGACTTAGAGCTACACCATCACTTCTCCAGCTATTCAAATTGAAAATTAGGTATGAATTATGCCGAGTTACTCCTAGTTCTCTAGGCAGCAGGCAGTGGTACTCTTCACCCTCTGTGATTGTCAGCCTCTTCTCAAACCACATGTGTTTATATACAAGGTGAATCCTGAACAAATGTGCTCGAACTGCTCAGGGTCACGTCAGTTCAGTTCATTCTCTCATTTCTGTCCGACTCTTTGTGACCCCATGGACTGCAGTACACCAGGCTTCCCTGTCCATCACCAACTCCTGGAGCTTTCTCAAACACATGTCCACTGAGTCAGTGATGCCATCCAACCATCTCATCTTCTGTTGTCTCTTTCTACTCTTGCCTTCAATCTTTCCCAGAGTCAGGGTCTTTTCCAGTGAGTTGGTTCTTCCCATCAGGCAGCCAGAGTATTGGAGTTTCAGCTTCAGCATCAGTCCTTCCAATGAATATTCAGGACTAATTTCCTTTAGGATTGACTGGTTTGATCTCCTTGCAGTCCAAGGGACTCTCAAGAGTCTTCTCCAACACCACAGTGCAAAAGCACCAATTCTTTGGCACCCAGCTTTCTTTGTAGCCCAATTCTTACACCCAAACATGACTACTGGAAAAACCATAGCTTTGACTAGATGGGTCACGTAGATGAGGCTTTTTACACAGTAAATTTGGTCTACATCATATGTAGTTGGTTGTATCTAAGGATGAAGAACTGAGGATACAGAGAGCCAACTGTGAATGATATGTAATACATAACATGTATTTGTTATACATTAAAGCATTCTGATATCCAGACAAGCTTTCCTTTACTTTTTCCCATAGGGAGGGACTGGAATTGTAGTGGGAATTATCAGCCAATTATGATATGACCAATCATCCAAAATGATACATAAGGAAAGTGAACTCTCTTAGTCGTGTCTGACTCTTTGCGACCTCATGGACTGTAGCCCACCAGGCTCCTCCATCCATGGGATTTTCCAGGCAAGAGTACTGGAGTGGATTGCCATTTCCTTCTGCAGGGGATCTATATCTTTGTTAATTTAGCATTTCACTAAAACGAATTTGGAATTCTGCCCACCACTCGATTATATCCATGAAGAACACTATCCACACACAACAGGCATGGAATGGTGAGAACCAGGTTCAACCATGTTGCCAGTGTGGAAAACATCTTGTCAAAATGAGGACTTTGCTTTGAAAGTGAAGCACACACAAAGGCAATAAACTGACTCATGCTGTGACTGTTAGACACATGAGAAACTGCAATGCAAAGGTCATGGACTGAGTCATCAGAGGGAGCCCTCTGAGAGTTCCTCACTCCTAGTTCACGGGATAGAGTTTGTTCCCCTTTTGTATACTGACCCACTGAACAGTCGCAGAAGAAAACTAGGAGCTAAGGGCTGCACAAGAAGGTTTACTAATTGCCTCAGAGAGAAAATCCCCTGCAAAGATGGTGAATGCAATTCAATGCCAGGGTCAGGAATATTCTCCAGAGAAGTCAAAGGAAACCAAATAAACTGAACACAGAATAATATGTCATGGAGGACAGCAGAAGATTTTCCATGAGTGTTTCTTTATTTCATTTAATAAATGTCATTGGAGTAGATTTGCTTTATAATGTCCTATAATTTTCTTGCTCTACAACATAATAAACCGGTCATATCTGTGCATTTATCAACTCCCATTTTAGATGTCCTTGCTGTTCGGTAAACGGGAGGGACTCTTTATCATTGACAACCTCTCTGTTTCAAAAATTTGTTTACCACCAAAAACATTCTTTATTGGGACATAGCCGATTAACAGTGTTTCCACAGTTTCAGGTGAATAGCCAAGGGATTCAGTACACATAACACAGGTATCCATTCTTCCTGGAACAGCCCTCCAATGCAGGCTGGCACATTACTTTGAGCAGAGCTCCATGAGCTATACAATAGTTTCCCGGGGGTTATCCACTCTAAACACAGTGGTGTGTACAAGACTTCCCTCAAGGCTCAACCATTCCTCCCCGGTCCTCCCACACCAACCCACCCCCACCCCGACACACACACCAACCACGAGTTCATTTTCAAAGTCATGAATCTTTCTGTTTCTGCAAGTAAGTTCACTTGTGTCACTTCCTACTAGACTCCACATATGAGGGATGTCATACGCTATTTCTTGAGATTTTCTTTCCAACTTTCTCCCCAGGGGTAACTCTAACACATGGGTCTCCCACGTGGACCCACGCAGGTTCATATCAGATTCTAAAGGCACATGTGCATGAAACTCCCATCGCCTCCCAGAGTCTATCATTCCCCGCTGCAACCTTGCCCCAGCACCACCACCACCCGCCGCCCTCCTAACACGGTTCCTTTTCCCATTTGCCTTGAGCAGATGTCTGAAACCCTGGGTCTGTGTTACCTTCATGATGACCCCAAGTTCTGGATTTCCGTTTCAAGGTGCACAGCAGAAAGCTTCTGATCGAAGCAAACCCCTAGGCAGGGGCAGAACAGCTGTATTTAACGAGCTCCATGTGATGGCATGCAGCCTCCCCACAGCGAGGACATGGGCTGAGGCTAATCCAGATGATCCTGAGACGTCCCAAGTCTCTCAGAATCTCCAACAGCTGAGCCCGAAGCTGGGCAAGTCTCGCTTCCAGGAGAACACCCCGAGGTCTGTAAGTCTCCTGAGGGGCAGGATAACGCTCTTGCCTTAAGTAGGGCAGCACAGCGGTGTGTCACAGCAGCTTCTCCATGCCGGCCGTGGACAGGACGTTCCCACACAGGCTGAAGGACCTGAGCTGGGAGCAGCGGCTCAGGGCGGGCAGGAAGGCCTCCAGCTGGGAGTCCGTGATCCCACACACATCGAAGTCCAGTTCCTGCATGGTGGCTGCGACTTTCTCCAGCAGAACTTGGAGGAGCTCAGGCCGAAAGTCAGTCATGGTGACACCGCTCAGGTCCAGGCTCTTTAGCTGACTGATGTCCGGGCTCTGGCACAGGAGGGTCAAGTCTGATTCTGTAAGCCCGCACTTGGTTATTGACAGGCTGTCCAAGGGCGACTTCAGGCACCTGGGGAGAGACCAAACTATTAGCTCTTGGGAACCGGGTGCCAGGCAGCATACAGCTGATAGACAAAAGGTCCCTACAAAGACGAACCTTAGTCTGACCATCCACTGAGGGTCAACATGCTGATTTGCCCCGCCTCATTCTCGTCTGAGGGCTGTCAGCCTCCCTGTGGCACCGAGTCCCTTCACAGGATCTCAAAGACACTCTCTCCTCATCTGTGAAGCAGAGCACAACACACTCCACCTCCTTCTGAGGATGATTGAAGACCATGGAATCCCAAGAACATGCTGTGAGGGGAGCCATAGAGCATCTCCTTCAAGTGTGGACATCACTGAATAGTAGTGTGGGGAGAGGAGATCTAACAATGGCTTCGGGTAAGGCTTCCTTCAGTCGGAGGTGGAGCTCCAGATCCTGCATCTCTGGCCAGGTGAGACTCTGGGGAGACGTGCATAAGGAGCCAACTTTCGAGCCCCAAACCGTCTCTTACAGACAGGGGATTGATAACAGGTTCACTGAGGACAGCGATCTTGGGCGCACAGAGTTTCTCTTCAGGGGTGCTCTGATCTGATGTCGCTTCCCCAATTCAGTGTCCTGCTCGCTTCCCTATTTTGAGCATTTTCACATAGATGCCTCCAAGGTAGGAGGAAATTACCAACTCTGGGATGCGCACATCCCACATCCTACTCTCTGCCTCCTCACAGGCGCCACTCGGTCCGTTTAAGCCCCTCCCTTGATTTGCCTGGTTGTGGGCCACCGCACCTCAGGAGAGAGCAACGTGAGAGACGGTGCTTTGGACGTTCCAATGTTGTGTTTACTCTTACCTAGCCAGCGGTCCACACTCACCTGAGCATCTGGTCCAGGCAGCCTTCAAGGAAGGAAGGAGACTCCAGATGGAGATCCCGGAGGTGGCCCAGCCTGCGGAACTGGGAGGTAACGTGCACCAAGTGATCGTGCTCCTGCTTCTTGAAGGCAGACACGTGGGCGTGGGAGAGACGGAGTCTCTGTAAGTGACTCATCTCACCCAGGAAAGGAGCAAATGTGGCGAGGGTGGGCAGATTCCAGGTGCAACTCACTTGCACCTCCTGGATACAGTCCAGCTGCACCATGCTCAGCACCTTCACGATATTGTCCATTGGCATGGAAACGATCTCCAGCTTCTTACAACACAGGTGGATTGAAGACTTTCTCTGCTCCACCCACCTCAGGAGGTAGGTGAGGAAGTTGTCCAGGGCCCTTTTCTTCAGGCACAGGTCTAGGAAGACCTTCAGTGGAGTCGAGGGCTGCTTTGTCGTTGACCTGGGCTCAGCCACTGCTGCCACTTGTGAGCTTGAGCACCCATAACTGCTGGCTCCAGACCACATGCTCCAGAAGTTCTGGCCAGTACTTCGTAAATCTAGCACCCGCAGTTTGCACCTCCTGGGAGAAGAAGGAGATTGACGAGGATGCAGTAAAACCCACACAGTCAAAAAGAAACAGAAAAACAAACCCCAAAGCAACGGCCTCCCATTTGGACAACAGACTGCCCACCTGTGCTGTAACTTAATCTTCCTGACATCACCAGCTACCTTGCCCTCTTGCCTCTCTGCCTCACTTTCCTTCATCCCCCTTTGCCCTCTTTTCCTGTCTGATTTTCCATGCCAGTAACTCTAAGCGTGGCTGGCTAGAGGTGGGGAGTATTCTTTAAGGCTCCCCTTCATTGGAGGCACCCTTATGCTACCAGAAGGTATGGCCCGTAGGGAGCCAGGGCTTCTTCATTGCTATCTTCAGAAGCCTCTGATCCATCCCTTTCCATGTACGTTCTCTCACCCCAGCTCTCTTGCTTGGAACTCCCAGGATTTGCCCAGGTTCCCATGACAGACTCACCTGGATCAAACCTTCTGGGCAAGCAGAACATCAAGGGCTTCCAGCACGGCTTGTAGGGGCCCCACGTGAGGCAGGTCAATCAGGGCCCCCAGAGGCAGGCGGACAAAGGGCCAGGTTTGCACCATGGCTTTGAGGGTCTTGGTCTGATATCCGCCAAAGGCTTCCAGGAAGAACGGTGGGAAGAGCTCCATGGGCAGACTCTCCAGAGCAGAAAAGTCCAAGCCATCGGCCCTCAGCAAGCATCTTCCCACCAGGTCAAGGAGTCTGGGTGGGGTCTGGGCACTCATCCTGACTCCCCTCCAAAACGACTCCTGTTGAAGCTGCCAGGGATCAAGGGATCCATCTGAGACAATGCAGGAGCACACCTTAGACCGTCTCCCTTCCCTTGCATGGAATGCACTCAGGGCCAAGGTCACTGCACCAGCAGGGCTGCAAGGGAGGCATGGAACTTAGCATTGGAACACTAGACAGGGCCCAGTGGGGGCCAGAGTGCTATCTCTCTGCCTGCTTGGAACACGCGTCTCACTTCTACTGAGCAACCAAAACGTGAAGGCCAAGTGTGTGCTCAACATGCATCTTAAATTTCAGGCAAACAATGAAAATTCCAAACTGCTGAATCGCCTTAATAATATCTGTTCGCGCAAGACGGTTAAAATGATTCCAGCTAAATCGCTGATGAAAATGCAATGAGATTCAGGTAAAACTACCTTAAGAGGCACAATCAAAACCTGAAATGCATTCTTGGGAAAGAAAGGATTTTCTGGAAAACTCTCCTTGTCATCCAGAGGCACACGCTACGCTTCCACATTCGCTTACCTGAAGTAAGGAAAGGCCGTCCTCCTCTGAGGCTAGCAACTCACTGCTCTGCTGTGGCTTGCAGGGCGCTCAGACGTAGACAATGCTGAGAGCTCATCTGTGACTCCAGGGCCAGAGAAGGACTTTCTCTTCCCATCATCCCTCTGTCCCACTGCTGAGCCAATCAGAAACGGGCACCTGATGAGTCAGTCTATAGAGCCCTCATGGGATAGATCCCGTTTGGGTCTTCATTTCTCTCTCTCAGTTGATTGGCTCAGATATACATGCAGGGGGCAGAGGTTGATGGGGTGGCCGAGTAATCAAGGATCCTTTATCCATTCACGACTCACTGCACAAACACTGACTGAATTCTACCATTAGAATTGAGAAAGAGACAGTCATGCTTCCCTTGTGGCTCAGCTGGGAAAGCATCTGCCTGCCATGCGGGAGACCTGGGTTGCATCCCTGGGTTGGGAAGATCCCCCGGAGAAGGGAGTGGCAACCCACTAAAGTGTCCTTGCCTGGGGAATTCCATGGACAGAGGAGCCTGGCGGGCTAGAGTCTGTGAAAGCCAACACACGCCCACATGCCCTGGCTCGCGCTCGGGGGCACACACACACACACACACACATACACACACACACACACGGACATACACATATGCACACAAACACACAGGAGATGTTCCAGACAGAATAAAGAAATGATGGGAATGGTCAGGTTTGCTATCAGGGACCACAGGGTGCCATTTTTTTCTTCTTTAATAAGTAACTTGAGGTAATTGAGGCATGAACTGAACACAGAATAGTATGTCATGGAGGACAGCAGTCGACTTTCCATGAGGGTTTCTTTCTTTCATTGAATTAATTTTTATTGCGATAGATTTGCTTTCTAAGTTCCTATGATTTTCTTACTGTACAATTTAATAAATAAGTCATATCTGTGCATTTATCCACGCTCATTTGAGATTTCCCTTGTGTTTGGTAACCTAGAAGATCTCCTCAGTCTTGAGAAGTTCTCAGTTTCAACAATCTGTTTGTTTAACACCGAAAACATTCTTTATTGGGAAACAGCCAATGAAGAGTGTTGCCTCAGTTTCAGGTGAACAGCCAAGGGATTCAGTACACATATGTCATGTATCCATTCTCCACGGAACAGCCCTCCAATGCCGGGTGGCACAGAACTTTGAGCAGAGCTCAATGAGCTATACGATAGGTTCCCGCTGATTATCCACTATAAACATAGTGGTGTGTACGAGACTTCCCTCAAGGCCCAACCATTCCTCCCCGACCCCCACCAACACCCGAGCCCCCCACCCCCATGCACACACACCAACCAGGAGTTCATTTTCTAAGTCGTGAGACTTTCTGTTTCTGCAAGTAAGGTCACTTGTGTCATTTCCTACTAGATTCCACATATGACGGATGTCATTCAATATTTCCTGACAATTTCTTTCCACATTTCTCCCCAGGGGTAACTCTAACACTTGGGTCTCCCACGTGGACCCACGCAGGTTCATATCAGATTCTAAAAGCACATGTGCACGAAAGATAAAGAAGAAGTGGTACAAATATACAATGGAATGCTCAGCTCAGTTCAGTTCAGTTCAGTCTCTCAGTCGTGTCCAACTCCTTGCAACCCCATGAATCGCCACATGCCAGGCCTCCCTGTCCATCACAAACTCCCAGAGTTTACTCAAACTCGTGTCCATTGAGTCAGTGATGCCATCCAGCCATCTCATACTCTATCGTCCCCTTCTCCTTCTGCCCCCAATCCCTCCCAGCATCAGGGTCTTTTCCAATGAGTCAACTCTTTGCATGAGGTGGCCAGAGTATTGGAGTTTCAGCTTCAGCGTCAGTTCTTCCAATGAACACCCAGGACATATCTCCTTCATGATGGACTGGTTGGATCTCCTTGCAGTCCAAGTGACTCTCAAGAGTCTTCTCCAACCCCACAGTTCAAAAGCATCAATTTTTCGGCACTCAGCTTTCTTCACAGTCCAACTCTTACATCCATACATGACCACTGGAAAAACCATATCTTTGACTAGATGGACCTTTGTTGGCAAAGTAATGTCTCTGCTTTTTAATATGCTATCTAGGTTGGTCACAACTTTCCTTCCAAGGAGTAAGCGTTTTTTAATTTCATGGCTGCAATCACCATCTGCAGTTTTTTTGCAGCCCAAAAAAGTAAAGTCTGACACTGCTTCCACTGTTTCCCCATCTATTTCCCATGAAGTGATGGGACCAGATGCCATGATCTTAGTTTTCTGAATGTTGATCTTTATTATTAGTTGGTTACAAAAAAAACAATGAAATAATGCCATTTGCAGCAACATGGATGGATCCACATATTGTCATGCTGAGTAAGCCAGAGAAAAAGACAAACATCGTATGATATTGCCTATATGTGGGACCTTTTAAAAAATGGTACAAATGAACTTATTTACACAACAGAAATAGAGTCACAGATCTGGAAAGAAAACTTATAGGTAACAGAAGGAAAGGGAAAAGAATAAATTAAGAATTGAGATTGGGAGAGAATAAGATGGCGGAAGAGTACGTGGACGTGGAGTACATCTCTCTGCACGGATACATCAAGAATACACTTTCAGACACAGAAGTGCATGCAGAACACCAGCTGAGAGCAGACAGGAGTACCTGACCAGTGAAAAGGAGTATAAAGAATAATGCAAAACTCGGTAGGATTAAGGAACTAGGGGAAAAAACAAGAGTGTTAGTAGGACTGGACCTGCCCTCGGTGGGTGGTGGAACTGAAGCAGGAGTTCAATCACCACATCAGGGCAATTGTCTGAGTCAGAGAAGAAACATCTAAGGCTGAGAGTGAAACAGTTGATCTGTGGCAGCCTAAATGGAATGAGAATCAAACAGGCCTTGCCACAGCCATGCATACACCCGACAGGGACTCCTGTCTCCTAGCAGGCATGGCAGCTGGGAGCTGGAGTTTAGGGATTATGGAAGAATAGCAAGGCAAGTGCTGCTGTTGACTGGAGACTCAGATCGCGGGGCTGTGAGGGAGAAGATTGTGGTGGGAAATGCCTATGGAGGAAAGCCAGGCATAGAATCAAGGCAATACTGCTGAGTCATATGTAGTGGGTGGAGCCATCAGTATAGCCTGTCTCTCCCCACATGCCAGCATCCAGAGTTGAACAATAGCAAGGCTGGCCCATCAAACGCCTGACAGGCTGAACTACAGAGCAGGACCCCACCCAGGGTGCCCCGTTAAGTGCCTGATCTGAGTGCCTGAGCAGACACCAGAGCTACCGAGAAAGACTGGCCAAGGAGGTCTTCTGGTCACCAGCTACAAGAGGCTCGAAAAAAGACTCCGATGGGGCCATAAACCCTGCAGAGGAGGCAATGTGTGTCCCTGCACACTTGACACTGACAGGCTCCCTGCAAGCCAAGCAGCTGCACTCCCTTCATGCTCAACTCTCACTGGGGCATAGCTGCCACAGGCAAAAAAAATCTCGTGTTCATGCATGTGGGGTCGCTTTGGTGGTGTCCAGCTCTTTGCGACCTTGTAGACTGTGGCCTACAAGGCTTCTCTGTCAGGGGGGTTCTCCAGGAAAGCATCCTGGAGTGTATGGGCCAATACTGGTTGCCATAGCCTTCTAGAGCACTATATTTCCTGCTGCCCTAGCCACCAACTCCCCTGAGTACCTGGTGCTGCCAGAACCCATGCGACCCAAGAAGCTGCACTACCTCCACACCTGGCCCACACAGAGGCAAACCCAAGTCCTCCAGGGCAGCCCCAGGAGCAAACCCACATGCAGAGGTGGAAATAAAACCACAATTGAAACCCAGGGGCAGTGTGGCTAAGGAAGAAGACCTAAAACCTTCCCATCAGCTATGCAAGCTGTAGATTAAATTTACATGATCAGCTAGGCAGACTCTGTCTATGGAATGTATAAAAGGACTTTGAGAGATCCCACAAAAGAAAACACACTAGTTCTGATAGCTGTGGACATTTGAGGCAAGAACACACAGGAATAGAACCAGATTAGAATCTGAGCTGTCCCCATAGCAGGCCCAGAGATCAACACATTGTTGGAGGGCATCCTAGGAAGTTAAGGTGGGCTGTGACTCCCAGGGAGGGAAAGGATTCTGACAGTAGTGACTCAAGAAAAATATTTATTGTTCTTAAGTTTTGACTTGTTCTGTAGATTCTTTTGGACTTTTTTTCTTTTTCTCTTTTAAATCCTTTTTTCCCAGCTCTCTGACATAGTTGTCCATTTTCTTGGCACTATGAAATCTAATTAAGCTTTTGAACATTTTTTTCTTCTTTTCTCAGTCACATTTTTTATTGTTATTATAAACCTCTGCCTCTACATTGGGCTTTTGCAGTTCTGTGGAGTTTTCCTTTTTTATCCCTTTTCTCTCTTTTTTTATTATTATTATTTTTTTCATTTATTTATATTAGTTGGAGGCTAATTACTTTACAATATTGTAGTGGTTTTTGCCATACATTGACA